CAGTTATAAATGACCAAGCCTCATCAGGTTATATTTTTCTTACATTTCCGCAGCAAGTTAAATAGTTTTTCTGATGTTTCTCACATTGTGTAAACATTCCATGTACCTTCTATATGAATTACTGCTCTTCTAGTTGTCGGCAGGAGCATCAACCTCGTGACTTCTCAAAACACGTGACTTTTACCATAAAGCGTCGTAAATCTTCTAAGTGTATGTATACCTTCCAACTCACAGGACAGAGTTTAAATGGTTGAAATTATTTGTATTGTCAGGTTTTGGAAATCATGAATCGATCAACGTTAGACCACCATTAGAAACGTGGAAGTGTTGGACGGCTGTTTCGCTCTAATACCAGAGGTTAGTCGTTCGAACACAAAACCTAACGTCCTGGATTAAAAACCTGCAAGTTGCAGGATTCGTGGATGAGCACATCAAACTGTTTGTTCTGGTTAGCGTTTTCTTTTAACAAGTTCATTTTCTACGGACTAAGGTCCCTGATCCCATGCCCGACCCTCCTCCTTCATCCGGGCTTAAGAGACTGGCAGTAATCGTGGAACAGCTTCGGACGGAGTTAGTTACAAATAACGTTTGTAGTAAAATAGTGCATACATTTAAGAGATTGTAGTGACTCCACATAAACTTGAGTTCGCTCATATTTAATTTGATTACGCCTTTCGATTAACTTATGTAACCAAGCCTTTTGTATAGCAACAGCTCATATGTACCATTGGTATTTTTTATTATCTGCTTTGTATGAGCTTGTACGACTGAGCATTGCTTACGCTTACGCACTTACTCATCCTTTTCGCTTTAATGTTAATCTCTTAATACCCCTATGAACTCACATTACTTGTCTCGCTTGCTTTTGACCTTGTCAGTCATTCGTCGCTTTTATTCATGTGTGCCTATTTCGCTTGTCACATGTCTTATATTTGTCTGACTATATATTCTTAGTCATGTTCTATCTCTTTGATTTGGCTCTTAGCCTTCTTCAATTCGCTTCGCCCATTCGTTCTCATTGTAACCCATGGAGTTGGCTCAAAAGCCTTCTCCACTTCACGTCGCTTCATTCTATTTATCCACTGCTTCTCCGCTTCACTTTGTGGTGTGTCACGAATAAACGTATTCATCACTACGAATTCATCTTCTGATTTATAAACCGTCAGACGCTATTTGGCAACGATTGTCTGAACGAGTTAATTATCGAGCTTAAGAACACACAGCAAATCGACACAACACAAATGGTGATCCCGACGTCAACAAAATCGGCCACTACAAGATTACTTATATTAATGCTATATAAAACATCTCACTAGAATTAGATGAAAGATATTATACCACAGAAGTGATATATATATATAACAATCGATTAGTACCACGATCAATCATTTAAAATCAGTTTTTTTTGTTATTTTCTCCATCTTTCTTGATTGATTCATTAAAACAAAAACATTTCCATTCTAATTTGAAAAAATAAAACAGTATAGAACAGTAGATAATTAACCAAACCAAACCAAACCAAACTAACTAACATAATTAACTATCTATCTTTCACAATAAAACCAAAAAAAAACATACATACCCTACTTGTTATTTTGTTCAATTGAATCTTGTTCAATGTACAATGTACAATGTATGTATGCATAGCGAACACTAGAAAATTCAATCATCCATTGTTTTGTTTCTATTCTTCCTCCTCCTCCTCTTCTCCTCATCAACAACAATTAAGTATCAATTCATGATGTCGGTTCGGGTTTGTTTCGATTGTTTCTCCCCCACTTTCTCAAACAAAACATTCGCATACTTATATGTGTGTATATAAGTAGTAGTTGTAGTGAAGGAGAGAACACAGGTGGGACAACCGAATCGCATTTAACGAAAATTACAGAGTTACTCAGTATAAAATAGGAAAACCATATCGTAAATCGTTCATTTGCAAATTATCGGTTCATCATATCGAACTGCACTGACTGTTCCTGTTGCAAAACATCAATCCATTGTCACTCACTATTCATGCGTTTCATACAAATTCCATTGTGTTCTTCTAACTCTTCCTTTCTTGATCTTTCCCCATCTTCTGCTGCCAGACATTACGTTGACACTGACGTCATATACTACTTATAAGTAGCTTACACCACAGTAGTATGTACATGGGAATGTCGATAACTCGCAGAAATGATGATGATTCAAGCTCATACACTACAATTTATATCACAAACTACTGTAGTGAAGGAGAACATAGGTGTGGCTTGTAGCGTATACTAGTTCCCGCTGCTGGGACACGGCGGGAGGCACGCTCTCGATAAATTGCGACGCCAACAACTGTGCTCCTGACTCCCCATCCATACTTGGCAGCGTAAGGCGCAGCAACATCGTAAGCTAAACAGCCAGCACCGACGGGTCACCATCAGCCGACAGCCTCGCCAACCGGAACCTCTGCGGAGCCTCCTCCCTGTCCACCGGACTGTCGAACTCCGTCATCAGCCGCCCGGTGACCGTCTCCCACGCCGTCTTCCCGGCGGCATCGTCCAGGCTTTCGTATACCGCCTTCGCCTTACCTCCCTGCAGTGTCTCCAGCACCACCAACTCCGCCACAGGCCCCTTCACACCCACCAGCTCAATCGCAGCCTCAAACTCCTCCAGGAACCTACGCAAATCTCCGTCCTCCAACTCCTTCGGCCACGGGAGCTCCTTCCTTCGAGCAGGCGGCGACATCAAATGTTGTGAACTAGAACACAGGTAGGGCAGCCGAATCGAATTTAACGAAAATTACAGAGTTACTCAGTAAAATCGGAAAACCATATCATAAATCGTTAATTTGCAAAACATCAGTCCATTGTCACTCACTATTCATGCGTTTCATACAAATTCCATTGTGTTCTTCTAACTCTTCCTTTCTTGATCTTTCCCCCCATCTTCTGCTGCCAGACATTACGTTGACACCCACGTCATATACTACTTATAAGTAGCTTACACCACACTACAACATCATTTCATTAGTTTTAATGTGATTTTATTATGATCAAAGTGTTCTTTTTTTGGTATTATTCAGTGTCCAACGTTTGTCAAATGATTGATTGATTGATTGATTACTAAAGAGTTTAAGTTGAAATGAGAGAATTATCAATACTGGAAATTGTGAGTACATTTAGGATAGGAGGATATAATGAAGTACGTTTTTATTCTATTACTAGTCAATATCTGTCTATTTTCTATGTGGAGAGGGAAATATTATCTGTCACATTGGAGGGCAGGTTTTTAATGTGTGTGAAGATTGATGAGATTTATTTAAATCATAAATCAATCAATCGTAGACCAATATTAAAAATTCAAAAAGTACTGAATAGACATGACCAGTGGTGTTCAACCTTGTTAGGTGTGTTACAGTTAATCATAGAAATTAATGGATGATGGGTCGGACAAAATCGTTAACTGATTCAAATTTTCCCAATAATTAGTACAGTTGAATGTTATTAACCCAGTGGTGTAAAGTTTAAGCATTTATGTCCGAAACCTAAGCTCCTACCTGTGAGATCGTGAATGCGATGACAAAACGGTTACCCAGTACTTCTAGGTTTTCGGAGGTGACCTCACACACTGACTGATCTGTGATTAAAATGAAAATCTAAACTTAACCCATGTTTGTTTTGTGGCTCCAAAAACACACTGATAAACTGTTTAGGTATAAACTAATTACTAATTCTGAGTGTCTCAGGCTATATGAGATTAAACATGTCTGAGCAGTTTTTATTTTTATGTTAGTATTAGGGTCGTTAGATTTTCAGAACTCGCTTGATAAAGGTCCTTATTTTGGATTTTAAGTTTACGATCATGGGTTGATCAGTTAACCTTGAGATCGCATTTCCCATCCTTGGCTGTTATTGGCTGATGTATTATTTTAGTACACTATTTTCGTGGCTCTCCCAAGAACGTTTCTATCATGTATGAATAAGCTCGATTTGTTTGCTTGTGAATCTCATATTTCCTAGGTGCTTCTAGGATGCCCTTTCTACGTTTTGTCAAGATTTCTCCCTCTACTTTGCGGGGCCCTGGGACGTTCGGATTAGAATTGCCTATCGTGTTAGTGGTTCATTTGCCTTCGCTCTCGTTTACCGACTAAGGTGAACTAGTAATAGTTTCAGGCAATATCAAACATGCTGAAAGAATGCACAATCTTCCAAACAGCTTAAGTAACAATGCAAGCATGTTTGGGATTCGATTCTCCCACTTCAAAATGCAAAATGTTGCTTAACGATTGACTGGCTTGCATTGACGCCTAAACTAGTTATATAGAGTGAAGTAGTATAAAGAGTTGACTACTTCACTTATCTTAAGATTCTCATCAGTCCTAATAGCCTGGTTTCTGACGAAATTTCAACAAGTATATAGAAGGTTTGATTTACTTTTCTCATTTATGAAGAAGTAGTCAAGATATCCATCTAATAGCCAAAAGGACGAGTTTACTGTGCAGCAAGCAGTTCACTTCATCCTAATGTACCGCGATGTAACATGGCCCTTTAAGGAAAGAGCGGATTCGTAGGTTCGATCGTCATTGCATTACTGTTAATGTTTCTATGTCATTGTAGCTGACTAATCAACTTGTAGTGAAGGAGGACACAGGTGAGACAAACGAATCGAATTTAACGAAAATTACAGAGTCACTCAGTAAAATATGAAAACCATATCGTAAATCGTTCATTTGCAAATTATCGGTTCATCATATCGAACTGCACTGACTGTTCCTGTTGCAAAACATCAATCCATTGTCACTCATTATTCATGCGTTTCATACAAATTCCATTGTGTTCTAACTCTTCCTTTCTTGTTGATCTTCCCCCATCTTCTGCTGCCAGACATTACGTTGACACTCACGTCATGCACTACTTATAAGTAGCTCACACCACAAACTTGTGCAACATGTATCCGATTCAAATAAAATTATCATCATACTTACATTAGTTCTCTTCGGTCTATCTCTCACTTTTTTTTCTATTTCACAGGTAATTTATACTTATTAAATGCAAATTATTCAACTATTCAAAAAAATCTCACTTATACATGTGTCATTAATAATGCCATTTTGCATACAATGAAAATTGGTCCCGAAATGAAATTACAATGGACATCATCAAATTTATTGCCAATTGTTGAAAATCCCTTGAACATTGTATATCATTCAGCATTAAAACAAATTGTTTTACTGAATGAATCATTATCATTAAAATGTATTATACATGGTAATTCTCCTTTACCAAAAATTCATTGGGAATTTATGTCAGACCAAGAAGCATTACTGTCAAATATCAATCATGATTATCAATATAGAAATGTGAATTTGGTAAAGTTTACTGTTTTTTTTGTTGGTGTTAAAAATGTAGTTTATTCCGATTTTAAAAATGATTTGGATTATCGCGATGTTCATGTGTTGAACATTAACTCTGAGATGTACCAGGTATAGGCATTCAGCTGATGAGTTCCCGAATGGGACGAAACACGTGTCCTGTTTCTCACTTGTAGCTGTGTTCAGTCTCTTTTTTATATGAATATTTTAAGATTTTTGTTTATAGAGTAGTGAAGATTGTTGAGTTTCATTGAAATCATGAATCGCGATCAATGTTAGACCGTTATTAGAAACTTGAAAGCACTGAACAGAGGTTTCGTCATTGTATAGGACTTGTCAGCAGTACTCATTCACGACCTTCATGAGAGAGTATACGCACTTACCTACCGAAAACAGTAACTGAGGTCGAGCAATACCTTGGTTTGAATTAATTTAGACATAAACACCGTTGGATGTCGGGTCAGTGGTCTGCGCACGAGACGTAAGGTCCTAGGTTGGATTCAAGCGAGTGGGGATCGAGTTTCCAAACACTACTGATGAGTCGCATACTAGAACGAATCGGTCGTGTAGTGCTTTCAGGTTTATAATTTCAGTCTAACATTGACGGATTCTCGATTTCAATAGATAATTTAGTTTATTTAATATTTAGTAAGTAGTAAGTTTCGGGATGCAACTTTCAGTCTATTTAGGAGGTTGTTTTGAAGATTTTTAGGTTTTTTTGAAACCATGAATGATCAATGTTAGACCGCAATCAGAAACCTGGAAGCACTGAAAGACGGCCGTCTCGTCCCGGTATGGGACTTCTCCGCAGTGCGCATCCACGACTCCTGCACCCCGCAGGATTCGAACCCAGGACCTTCGGTATAGTAGGCGAACGCCTAACCATCGGAACACTGAGCCGGTATCTAACGGTGTTAATGTCTAACTTGATCAATTCACGGAGTTGCGCAACCTCATACACAGTCTTCGGTAGTTACTCTCTACACCCGAACAGGTTGAACTTCACTGGTCACGTCTTCCCACTAGAACTCGGAGATCCCTCACGAAGCTAGTCTCTAGTGAGCACGGGTAATTTGCATTACGGGGTTGTTGTGAAGATTGTTAAGTTTTTTTGTAACACACACCAGGACGAAACGACCGTCCAGTACTTCCAGGTTTCTAATGGTGGTCTAACATTGATCGACTCATGGTTTCAAAAAAATGTCTATTTAGGATTTGTCATGATATTGTATTGAATATTCGATAGGATAGGATTAGTAACGGATCTCCATTTTTAATTTGTGTTCAATATTTCGTATTTTCCCGTCTCGTGTAAGAATGCTTTATCTGAAGACCACTGAACCTGTGTCTAATATTGTATATGGCTACGTTCAATTGATTCGTGATTATGAACTAACCTTGTCGATTGCCAGTCTTGGATAAAGCTTTCATATTCGACATGATTGAACCTTATTGATTACGACCCCTCATTAGAACTCCTGGAATTACATATTGAAGCTGATCACTAGTAAGCACATGGTTAAGATGAGCATAGAGGGATTTGTCAGTCATTTGCGATGTAGTATCTGGCATATAAATACACCAGTTCTGTTGGGGAAGTTAGATCCTCAGAACCTACTTGATAAAGATCTTCATTTTGGATTTTGGGGTTTTGCGCATGAGCCGATCAGTTGACCTTGAGATTACATTTCCAACTCGGAAAATCCTTCACTGTTATTGGTTGATGCATTGTTTTAGTACACTATTTTTGTGGCTCTCCAAAGGAGGTTTCTATCATGTATAAATTAACTCGATTTGTGTGCTTATCGACCTCGTATTTTCTGGTTGCTTGTAGACTACACTTCCTACGTCTTTTCATGACTTCTTGCCCTACTTAGTGAGGCATTTGGACGCTTGGATTAGAGCAGCCAATCATGTCACTGGATCATCTGTCTTCACTCTCGTTTACCGACTAATTTGAACTCGTAATAGTTTGAAGCATATCAACTGAAGAGCACAACAAGTTCCAGTTACCAAATCTCGTTAACACAAAGAGATGAGACTGATAGTGTAGACCACAAAGTACTATATGAGTAGTAACGGAGAAGATTGGACTTCGAAGATACAATTGAAGTATAAATCAATGAAGTTGAAAAATTATGCTGAATTCAGAATCCGAGAATTTGACGGAAGAGGAAGAACGGATGTACGTGCCCCAATGCAAATGATTTTGAACTATCCAATTTGAAGTCGTCAACTGTTGATTACGATAATTATGCTAACTTCAACCATGTAGTCTATATCTCCAGCCATAGCTCAGTCCAAATGTTAATAACCAGATAAACCGGTCCCATGTTTAACTTTTAACTCTCCTAACTTTCTTCTAATCTGCTCTTACACCAATTAAAATTGTGGTTGACCATACGCAACATATGTCCCAACCATCTCAGCTGATAGAGATTTACTACGTTATCCGTCGACTTGCCATCTTTACCTAGTACCCTGTTCTTAACGTAGGCGTGGATTACTCGATGGTTTTTAAGTGCCCGAACGATACTTCAAAGATAGTTGTGGTTGAGTACTAGTAAGCGACGAGTACTCTCGATTGTTAAGGATTGTGTTTCACAAGCATAAATCACTGCACATTAAACTCATCCTTCAATGTAGAGACGGACAGCTCTCCTTTTTCGAATACACTTTCTACGCTATATCAAGACTTCTTGCTGGTACAATTGGGACAATCCGATCAGAGTAACCTACCTGGACTCTGGTTCATTGTTTTGTTCTCGTTATTCGACTAAGGTGAACCCGTAATAGTTTTAAGCATGCCTAGGACACACACTACGAAAAGCACCTAACTGCGTCACAAGACAAGCTCTCACATGGAACCCTCAAGGCAAAAGGAAAAGAGGAAGGCCAAGGAACACATTACTTCGAGAAATAGAGAAAGATATGAGAGGAATGAACCGAAATTGGACAAAACTGGAAAGGGAAGTCCAGGACAGAGTTGGTTGGAGAAAACTGGTGAGCGGCCTATGCTCCATTGGGGATAACAGGCGTAAGTAAGTAAGTAAGTAAGTAAGCTAGAGATGAGTATATCGCTCTCACAGCAGGTTGCTGCTGGTACTTTCAAGCCCACGGATTCCGAGTATCTTGTGTAGACAACTGTTAATGAACACTTGTATCTTCTGTATGACGTCTCCTACGTGGTTCTCTAACTTTCCACCACCATACAGATGAACTGTCTAGTCATTTCTATTGAAAATTCTAACTTCGACGTTGATTGATAGTTATCTATATAAACTCAACTAATTTTTCTTGTAAAAAACTTTATTTCAGCTTTTCTCATTAGAAATAAAAATTCCCTTTTAACGGTAGCAAACACATTCATATAACACTCCAATGAATATAGTCGAAGGAAAAGATGTTGGCTTTTTACATCCACTTATAAATGAAACACGTAGTACTCCCTTGTTATTATTATTCAACCGACTTGTAGTCAAACTTACACCAAAATCAAAAAATTATTTCCCGAGTACAATGAAATCACTAAAGAGAAGGGAAAAAAACGAGAATTCAATAAGTGTTAACATAAGTACCATTCCTAATGAGTGATTATATCACTCAAATCAATAGCATGAACTTTTTTCCCCAGTTTATCGGAATTGATTCGAGACATTTGTTTCTTTATTCAGTCACTTAACTGACAATTAGTTAGTTTAGCCTATTGAGAAGAAGTATGAATGTGACAAATCAAATCAAATCATCTCTATAATACCCGGAAAATTTTGTAAAAATTTGGTCAATTGAATCGTTTTGATTCAATGACAATTTTTTTCTTATTCATTAAGTTAATGAATTGTACTTTACAAAGATAAAATTCAAATAATAGGAAAGTTTAATTTGTACAAGTTGGTTGTAGTAAATGCCTTCTTATGTAAAAGAAATTAGTAATGTAACTTAGTTTCAGGAAGAGTTTTGGAGGTTTGTGTTTTTTTACACATTTGAAATCATCAATCAATCATTGTTAGACAGAACACCATTATAAGAAACCTGGAAGCACTGACAGACAGCCGTTTCGTCCTGGTATGGGACTCATCAGTGGCAGTGCGCATCCACGACACCTGAACCTTTCAGGATTCCAACCCGTGACATTCGGTATTGTGAGCGAACACCTAACCGTCGGACCACTAGTCTGGCATCCAACGAAGCACGAGTCATGGATGCGCACTGCTAATGAGTCCCATACCAGGACGAAACGGCCGTCCAGTGCCTCAAGGTTTCTCCTAATGGTGATGGTTTCAAATGTGTAATAAGGTAATTGTGTAATCAAAAATAGAGAATCAAACTGAATGAGTCCTGAAGTAGGAAATCAATTCAGGGAAATGACATCATAGTAATTAATAGTCAGTCATTTCAATGCCTGTTTCTCCACACTAAGGTACTTGTGCAACTACTTACTTGCTTGCTTACTTACTTAATTACTTACTTACTTACTTACTTACTTACTTACTTACTTACTTACTTACTTACTTACTTACTTACTTACTTACTTACTTACTTACTTACTTACTTACTTATGCACTTACTTACTTACTTACTTACTTACTTACTTACTTACTTACTTACTTACTTACTTACTTACTTACTTACTTACTTACTTACTTACTTACTTACTCACTTACTCACTTAATTAACTTTTTACTTACTTACTTATTTCCTTACTTGCTTACTTGCTTACTTACTTACTTATGCACTTGCTTATTCTTTTATGCACTTACTTACTTACTTACACCTGTTATCCCTCGTGGAGTAAAGGCCACCTACCAGCATTCTCCAACCTTATTCTATCCAGCGACTTCCTTTCCAGTTTTATGCCCGATCCTAATGATTGTTCTGGTTGTTAGAAGAGGCATCGGCCTTGTGACTGTTCAGGAAACCCGGCTTTCATCGTAAGATGTGACGGCTCTTGTAAATGAAGACCTCCCATCTCTCAGGGCCGAGTTCCAATGGCTCGAATTATTTGTTGTGGTTGTAACTGTTTTAACAAGTTGGTTCTTTACTGAATGAGATTGTCTACCTCATGTCCAACCGTCCTACTTCATCCAGGCTTAGAAATGGCATTTAATCCGGACGCGCTCCAGTTTTTCTCATGATATACTGTGACAATAAGGCACAATGAACTACACACTTATAATATATACCTATTTAACGTAAAGTTGCTTCTTCTATCTGCAATTTGTGACGATTATATTATGCAGAAGAACAATAAAAGCTCCACAAGCAAAACATTCAGCTCAGAGGACGAATCTCCACCACACAGATATTTACGTTATTGAGGGATTACCTGAATGCACTATAAATTTGAAATGAAAGATTACTAATTATAAATAAGAAAAGTTGTAGAATAAGTCAAAATAAAGAGATTCTAAGCGTCTCAATCGAGTATTGATCATATTGGTCATATCATCAATCGATTCAAAAGAGGAATCCCTTATCGTTTTTTTATGAACTAGTTACAAAGATATGGAGTTAAATCAATGTGAAAGGTACTGGGGTAATTAGTAACCAGTGTTAGAGAATAATGCTACATTGCTTAATTTTGGAAAGGCAAACGTAATGCCAGATCAGTATGGAGTCTAAGGGTTAAGCGTCCGCGTACAAGACCAAAGGTACTTGGTTGGATTCCTGCTCGTAGTATACACTGCTGATGAGTCTCACACTAAGAAGAAACGACACTCTAGTGCTTCCAGATTTCTAATGGCAGTCTAACGCCAATTGATACACAATTTCAATATAAATCAACTGGTCAGAAGAAAACATTTTGGCCGTTATTGAATATGCGATAGATATGTTCACTTAGAGTAATGCAAGAATGTCACTTTATATCACAGATTGACTGGAGGTTCGACATCAGTTCAGTTTTCTGCAGGGTTGTTCGCGTATCGTCAAATTCTTGGATACACAATTCTCAAGAGTTATATATTCAAATGCTATAATTATGAATCACTTCCTAGTTAACGCTGATTATCTACGTCAAATTAGAAAAAAACTTACAAGTGTTTGATAAACCTGCTATGTTCATATTGTTTTTAACTCACTTCTCATTTAATTTAATAGCTACCAGAAAACTATGGAATTCGATTGAAAAATCATGGCATGGAATTGTACATTCCCAATGTTCAAATGATTAATCATGGCAGTTATCGTTGCAGTGTAATGAATATGGATTATTTCGCGCCATTATCTTCATCATCGAATTCACAGATTGTATTCAATGTCACAGTTGAAAGTGAGTTGATTGTAACAAATTTAAAAATGGTGAATCGTCAGTCAATTGTTAAGCCACCATTAGGAAACCGAAAGCAATAGGAGGCCGTTTCGTCCTGTTATGGGACTCATCAATGGCAGTCAGTCAGTCATTGAGTCATTCAACAACAACAAAATAAAACGTTGTACTCACGTACATACATTAGTTCAAGTTATCATACCACATTAGCATAGAGAGGCAATTGTTACTTCAAATGCTATAATGCTAGAGATAGTAGAATTATTAGCAGTAATCGGAAATTTTAGGGTTTGACGATATTATTCAAGACGGAGAAGAATCTAGAGAAATAAACTTGAAACGAAATAAATAAAAATGATGAGGAACTCAGAAGGTTAGAATTCGAGAGAAAAAAATGAATGAATGCACCTGTGACACTGCAAACAGTTTCGAGCCATGTCATTCATGCTCCCTAACCATCAGTTAGTTTAGTCAACCAGGTAGTCTACACCTACTAACATGACTTAGTTCACCTGTTAGTGACTTCTTGGATTTGCGCCATGTTTTGGTTTGGCCGCTTCTAACTTTCTTCCATTATACTACTATACCACAAAACATAGATTGTCTAAAAGTCACTCAGTGAGTAGGCATACGCAACACATGTCCTAACCACCTAAACGGATGAAGTTTCAATACTTCATCTATTGGCCTGCCACACCCTAACTTGGTACCCGTTTCCTAAATACATCATTGCTTACTTGATTGTCCCAGGATACACGAGCAATACCTCGGAGACACCTATGATGGAAAACCAGTAACATACGATTATCTTCTTTTCTGACTGGCCATGTTTCGCAGCCATATAGTAGGACAGAGCGAACTGCTGCTCAGTCCACTCGTCCTTTATTCAGCGAACGGATATCTCGCCTACGCCATAAGTGACGCAGTTTGGCAAAAGCCAATCGAGCCTTCTATATTCGTGCTGAGATTTCGTCAGTCACCAGATCATCAGCACTGATGTGACTCCCGAGACAAGTGAAGCAGTCAATTCCTCCTGTAGATCCTCCAGGGCCAATGCTCCTTCTGACAACGAGAGCTCTTCTACGATGTGGGCAACCGGGAAGTAACATACACCCGCACAACCATAAAAGCACACGAGACCAAATTGGTCACAATCAAATCCTTTCAAAATCAATGGCAGTGCGCATTCACGACTCCCCAGCGAGTCCCATACCAGGACAAAATGGCCATACAGTGCTCCTAGGTTTTGTAATGGTGACCCAACATTGATCAATGCATGACTTAAAAGTAACTTAACAATTTTCAAAACCTTTTTTCAGTACAATCGGTATGAATTGATTTCGGTTGGATATACTTTATTAAACATTATCAGTTTTGGGTAAATTACTTCACGACTACTTATTCAAAGAAGAGAAAGCATAAATAAATATTTAGATATGATGATATATGCTAATGTGTTTAGCTTCTTAACTCTTACTGATGTGGTTTATATTACTTATAACATGGCTTATAAGTAGTTTCAAATCTAGATGTACGGAGCTATCACAGTCAATAACCTGCTGTCTTATAAATAGAAGTTTGAGGATAAGGTGTATACATTTTGTTAGTAAAATATATCTACACTAAGTAGACTACTTATTCCATCTTTTGTTGAAGATCATGTTTAGCTTAAGTATTGGATGCCTTTTTATCCCCCGCGTTGTATACTATGACTAAACAGGTAATCGATTTTATATTATTGTAGTGAAGGAGAACACAGATGAGGA